TATCCTTCTAACACTAAGGTCTCTTAGTTGCCTCTTACGTCACCCACAGAAAAAAAAGGGGTGGCCGATTCTATGCCGAGAACTACGCGGTTTTTGTCTATCGTTAATTACTATTTATCATGTAGATTATTAGCTTGTTTGGAATTTAGAAGCCAATAAAAAAATGGTATAAAATTATGAAACTAGTCTCTTAATGTTTTTTAGACGATGATAAATGAGCGCTCGGGTAATTAGTGGACAAAGTAATTTAAATATAAGAGAGAGAAAGAGAATATGGTTTATTGAACTAAATATTCAAGTGTTCCTAATAGATTTTTCTTGACACATTTTTAATGGTATTTATTTCAATATGAAGTTTAGGGTTTAGATATAGAGATATTATTTTTTTATAATTTTATCATTAGGTATCCAACTACAATGACTTGATTTTTTCTCCGTAGATTCTCATGTACTTCATGATGACTTTTATGCAAACTATATCGTATGTGCAAATTGTTATACTTTCGTTCAAGAATCAATTGGTACGTATCTATTTTATTCTATTATTAACCCCTCTCCCCTCAAAACATCCCGTTCAACGCCATCTCAAACCAAACCCTTTAAAATGCATTTAAGTCACTACGCCTTCATTTCCTGTATCACCTGTATTCTGGGTGGCGATCTTAACCTACTAATTGGGATTCATACGACTAATAATAACTCGATCAATTCTACAAAAGTTTGGCTGACTTCGGACTTATGTCTTTAATATAAGTTTGGGACTGAATTATAATATTGGATATACGACCCGTAATTTTTACCCCTAAAACTGTTAGTCTGAGCTTTATTATAAGATAAAGTATGTTTTATTAATATCAAAATAGGAATTGAGATTACCGAAGGCAGAAGTCGCTATTGTTTTAATTTTTTACAAGGAATAATATATATATATATTTCTTTATTGTGTTCTGAACAATTGTTTAAAATTATGCCCACAGCTACCTTTTATCACGCATCGCTTGCCATCGAACGGGAATTCATCTTTACATGCTTAAAACTAAATAGTAATGTACAGTTCAAAGGAAATTTCTTCCGCAAACGCTCCGGCTGTGGAATTAGTTCCCTGCTGAGGTTTTTCCTAGAGACTACAGTATGGGATTTTTTAAAAAGGGTATATTAAAGTTTCTTCAGGGTTGGCAATGAGCACATGACACCTCTAGTGTTGCAGGCGTCCATAGGCTACAGTAACCGTTTACCATTAGACAAACGATATGCTTATTTGCCACATACGTGATATAAAAAAAAATTACGAGAGTAATTAATTGTGTCCATTTTAATTACAGGCAGATACGGAGTCACTGATGTATTTTATCCTTGGTATCGCATTATGGTTCTCAAAACATTCATTGATAGGCATTGCTCTCTGCGTATCCCTCGAAACATTAAATCAAAGCATATCAACGGTTAAATTCCTTATCTGCCGTAAATCCCAATCCAATTGTTGTAAGTATATTTCATTTTAAAATAAAAATAATGTAGTACTAAATTAATATTCATTATTGAATGTAATTAATGAAAGTCGAACGTTGCAATTAGCAAAAGTGCTATAAAGGATGGAAAAAATAATTAAGCTACATTTGTTTAATTGATTGAGAGAATAAATAACGAATTGATTATATTAATCTAAGATAAATGAATGACTACATTTCTTACATATTTTTGATACTATATTAATAAAAAAATAAATTATAACTTCGGTGACATATGGGAATATATATAATAAGACTTTCCACAAAGACTGAATAGAAAATTTTTTTAAGTACCAAACCAACGATATAAATGAAAAATAATAAAAACATATACTAAGTATATTTATTTATTTTACATTAAAAAATGAATGATTTACCTTTTTTCAGTAATAGCTCGGCGATTTACGAAGAACATACTCCGAACACAACGTAATGATTTTATGAAGTTGTCTGCATTCGGATTGTTCACAGTCGATGGAACTTTTCCACTGCGTATGGGTGCATTGATAACATCTTATATTCTCGTTATGTTACAATTTGGTTTCTTGTCGAACCAAAAAAGTTATTAATTAATGAAGTATTAGAGGTAACCATTTCGGGAAATAATAAATATAAAATAACGATAGATTTTATTAAAGCTTTTGATACTGTTCGCATTACCATGCTGTAGAAATTTGGATCAACAATTACGGCGAAGAAACTTCACAAAATAATTATTAACAAGGTTTATGAAACTATTATATGAAAATTGGTAGTATAAAAGTAATACATGAATGAATAAATTTGAGGTGCTGCAGGGTAGAATTATAGGTCCAACGTATTTTAATATTAAGGAGAAGAAATATAGGACTGTAGCTTATTATTTTTTATTACCTCTTAATCTTATTGACATGCACAATATTAAAGTTTTTTTCTTAATTATTATATTCTAGTTTGTCAAGAAGATTAGACATTCACTTGATTGGAAGTTAAAGTTATGCAATTCAATAAAATATTGACAAGAAAAAAATTTTAACTGTGCAAATCAAAAGTAAGTGTGTAAGAACATATATAGTTATATTTCCTTAATTAATAAATAATTAATGTAGCGTGGCCTTTAAATTATCTTATTTTCGTTTTATAATTAGCTTTGTAGATATAAAATATGTTGTTATATAGTTGATATGTACTAATAAATAAACGCTCGATTATGTGAGTTTTTCTAGATGCATATGTTCAAACTAATTAACAGATTTTAATGAGATATTAAAGTCATTATTATATAACATATTTTGATTATGAAAGGAAATATTTAGTAATACATATGAAAGAATTTTAAATTATAAAAGAAATATAAATAGTTTTGCATGAATTGTCATAAGTAGCCATAACTATATTCTCTGAAATATTTTTTTTATAATGATGATGATGGATTATCCAAGATATTGTAAAAATCAACTAGGGAAATATAACATGAAAATAATACAATAATATATTCTTTTTGGTTTTACACTTATTTGTTAAAGTCTTAGCAAAAAAATAAAAAAAATATTGTATTCTAAATAGTCACTTTTGGCTTGTATACAGACCTTTAATCTATCTGACTACGAATGGATTTACGCACTGTTTCCAAGGGAAATTTTGCCACTGCTTGCTCCAAAGATTTTTTTATGAGACTCAATGTAACCGTGTCGTTTAGAGCAGGCTATGTCCTCTAAAACTGACCATAATTTCAAACCTAAAGGGTTGAGGTCTGGGCTAAATGAGAGCCAGTCTTCAGCTCTTATAAAGTCTGGAACGTTAGTTTCTAGCCAGGTTTGGGTAATTTGTACCTTGTGGCTAAGTGCAGAGTCCTGTCGGAAAGTTTACGGTATATTTTTAAAAAGTGTATTGCTGAGAGGTTTCACAACATGATCTAAGACTGTATTTTGATACACTTTGGATGAAGTTTTCGATTCTTTTTCACAAAAATGTAGTTTTGTGACTCCTTGATAAACCACGCCCCACCAAACCATCACTGACGCAGGATGATGACCACTTTGTACCTTTCCGACTGATACTTTATCATTTTGCTTATTGTAGTGTTCTTCAATCGTGAACATTTTTATATACTATACTATTTCTGTATCTATATAACCAATTAGAAGTACAGTCTTAAAAATCCATATTTTTAGTTTTATAATTTATCAAATAGCATTAGTTTCTTATATTCAATATAAGAATTTAGGAGAGCAGTAGATATTCTTATACTAAGGGTATAGGCTTTTTTTATAGATGATAATGGAATGGTAACCTCGCCTGTGCTAGTGTTCTACGCTGGCGGGGCACCAGTGAGGTATGACAGATGAGAACGAAAAGGCAGATCAGTTAGCCCATCGTGATGAATACACTTGGGATTCAGTACGATAGTTTCCAGAAGGACCACATGGAGGTCGATCTGACAGGATATATTTCTAGCAATGGGACTGGTAGTCTGCATTACTAATAATACCTTTCCTCCTGGCGCTAAGAGGTAAGAAACACGTTGACAAAAAAGGCTCCAACGTGGAACGGGCCACCCCTTCCTTTCCCGTGAGTTTAGTAAGAGGTGACTAAGTGAACTTAATGATCGAGAGATGGACAGTAGCGTCTCTATTAAAATATTAAAGCCTAACTGCGGTTCCCAACCCGCCTGCCAAACTCGGCAACTATTGGCAAAGCCCTGTTATGGGATTCAGCTATGAACATAGACATTCCACATAACGAATATAAAATGATATAAAATGCTTTTTTTTTATATTTATATAGAATTTTTCAGATCACGAAATTTTATACGTATGTTACGAACGAAACCCTAAAAAGTTCTGCTAACCTACCCAATAGATAAGCGCAATTAACATCGTTTAACCTCACTAATTGTTACCAAACAAGTACAAGTGGGCTGTCAGCGCCTCATTAAACAATTCTTTTATAAAAACAGAATTTGTCTTCTTTTAAATAACAAAAACGCCTGTCATTGTAAAAAAATGTTTGTCATGTCATATATTTACGAGAGATACTAAAGCCTGTTATAACAGGCGTTAGTATCTCTCGTCATCATCATATCAGTAGTCCACTGCTGAACATAAGCTTCCCCCATGTCCTAAGGAACGAGGTAGTTTCTTACAGCAGTTTACAATTAGGAGGATTTGTTTTGTGGTTGCCATGCTTGGCAGGCGTGTTGGCAACCGCAATTTGGCTTTTTGGTAATGTTCTAAGAGGGTACTGCTGCCCATCCCTCGATTTTCTTAGTTTCCTCACACGACACCTACAAGGAAGAAAGAGGTGGCTCGTTCTATGCCGGGACCATATGGCATCGTACCTCCAATTATTATAAAATCCAGTAATCTTGCTCAACATTATTATCACCAGAAGAAGACTTTGTACAAAATTCTTCTGCTTGAATACCTCTGTTCTATTCGTGTTCCTGCCGTGAAGCAGTTGTGTTTGCATGGCTATGTTTTGGTTTGAAGGGTGAGATATGGAAGTAAAATTACAGGATACGGAGGCATAACACCTTAGTTCTCAGGAATGGCGATGCATAAATAGTATTACGGATGACATAGTATACTCTGTTATGTCCATGGTACTGTTCATGTCTATAGGCGACGGTTACCACTTTTAATTTCCATCAGCTTGTTTGCCACTTTAATAACACAAGAAAAAATGACTGAATTCTGAAAACATCGCTAAGGCCTAACTGCGGTTGCCAACCCAGGACACTAGTGGCAGTACAGGACATCTACTACATGTCTAGCAGTGGACAGGTAACAGCTGCTTTGGTATACCATACCATAAGAAAAGTAGCTTGGATTAAAAAGAAGAAAAAAAAAACCCAACCTAGCAAGAATAATTAGTATTTCAAATTAATTTGTCAAAGCTATCACCGTTGAAACTGTTGTATCCTCATCATTATTATTATAAAAAAATTCTTCTAAGTCATTATTATCATTTTCATTATTTATAACATTTATTATTATAATTATCAGTCATTAGTCATAGTACTGCAGTGTGTTTATATTCACTTTGTACTATAAATAAGGAGTTATTACTTTTTTAATGTCGCAGATGGCCTTGACAGCTTCACCGGGCACGTGTACGGCGAGTGCGGATGGCACTCCAAGCCCGCGATAGGCGAGTGACAGAGTGTCGACTCTCACCATCTAATCATAATGTCGTTTGGTTCCGACTTGGAATAGGTCACCCTTTTTTCTCCTGTAAGTGTTGTAAGAGGCGATTAGGGAACTTAATGGCCGAGACAGCCAACAGCCTTCCTCAAGCATCATCAAAGCTTAACTGCGGATGCCGATCCAACTACCGGCAAAACTCAACATAGCAACCACTGGCAAAACCCTCCAAGCTAGGTACGTAGATACAGTTAACGGCTGATGTAATAGCTGTCATTAACTTGACATTTCAATATATAGAGGTGCTCTCTTTATCTCTCGAGTTATATTAAGGATAGAAACAAGCACTACCTATTCTTAAATAATGTTTTTGACATTTCCCCATAACAATAATTGGGTGTTCGATTTAACATTCTTGAATACATCAATGTGATTATTAAAACATTTAAGGCTTATCAACCGATTACTTTAAGAGCTTTCAGCAGTTCTTATAATTTTGTTCCTAATTCTACACTTAGTCTAGACTCTGGACAAAATGATTGTGAGCTACTCTAGGTCTCGTACTGAAATATTATTGAATAATGATTTGGACAAAGACTTTCAAGCGATGTTATTTCCATTAAGTCTTATAGATAACTTCTTTCTTCTATCCAAATATTATATTTGTTATAATTTTATAACACCCAAAGGAAATCTTTCGAATTTCACGTCATTCTGTAGCACTCTCATAGCTATATCTCTTTATGTCGCTAATTTGTACTGTAATGTCGATTACACTGATACTATTCAAGTGATAATGTATTATTTTGATATAATCACGTGTATATTTGGTTTTCTTATGAATTTGGCTATTAACATCTCCCAAACATCCAACACGGTGCATTTAATTCTCAAATTGCAACACTTTATCAGAAGTCTTGATCATAATAGGGGAAAGTTAAGAAGGATAGCCTTTTGGAATTGGGTATGCATAATAGGAATAATTGGTTTTTACCTTTATTACATTATTACTTTGTGCGTTTATAAAATTATGAACAAATTGGATGCCGCCACTTATGCAGTGTTAATAATTTTCAATACGAGCACTATTTGTGCAAGTAGATATATGAATGTGATAACTCAAGTATTGAATTTGTGGCTCACGGAAATAAGGTGCCATAACATAATGCATGTGGATAGATCACCCAATTGGAAAAACCTGTTAACCATTTACGAAGAAATAATAGAAGCATATGGTGCACATGATAAAATATTTAGTGTAATGGTAAGCACAATGGAGTATTATTATTATATGGAGTATATTATTATTATAGCCATTAATGTTGACTGTTACTGATAGGGTTGCTAGATGCAAATTTAAATTTTTACTTAGACATAATTTTTTTTCCAAATTGATACAATCTCTTGGATAGGAAGTTAGTAATAGCGTAAGAAACGCTATTACTAACTTGTGTTATTTTTATCTACGTTTTGTCATTTCCCACAAAAGAGGTCATTCCATTTCTACTTTTAGCTTCTTTTATTCTCTTCATCTCTTATGCTGTTTTATTACCTTCATTTATATATTTTATTGTACACGTCTATTGAGGTACTGAAACTATTATCCACAAGTCCAAAAAAATAATTTATATTTGTCCAAGCTCCTTTCACTTTTCTTCAAAAAATTCTCCAATAATTTAACTTCTTCAAAATTTCGAGGATAATAAAAAAATTAAGGGAAAATTGTGAAAAATGCCTTCTTTTTTAAATCAATTGAAAATAATAGATTTTTTTTAAATGGATGGAGATGGAAAGTGTACCCGCTTATGTTAACCGTGTATAATACCAGCTTCCCAGTGGAGGGTGAAACGATAAAAATAAAGTCAGGTCTATTGATCAAACGTCGCGAATTCTAGGGTGGACTGCGTGTAAATGAGAAATGTTGTTAACAATGGAGACTGACAGCCCTATTGCTAATATTCCTTTCAGTAGTATTAGAAAATACAGACTACAGAAGAAAAAAATCTCTGGAGAATTCCAATTCCTAGAAATTTCCATTTCTATTACTCACGGGAAGAGAAATGAAATGAAACGACATTTATTCGTAAAAATATAACTGTAGTTTCTTAAGTTTACAGTACTAATATTAATATTATAATTTTAAATAGATGTAGTAGTTGTGGTTTTAGAACTGGACTAATAGGTTAATATAATAAAATGTGTTAAGGGCTCATAGCTCTAATCCTCTTTAGTATTATGGGGAAATTAATATTGATATAAAGCAACAGAATGAGAAACGAAGAAGCAAAGTGCTATGGAATGGATGTGAAATGAATGAAATGAAATGAATTTATTTTGCTAGAATGTAGGTAGTTATAGATAAAAGGGGTTTACATTTCCCGTATACATATGTATCTATGTCGGTGTGCAAATTATTAATTAAAGGGGAGAATACACTTCATTTACATAAATTTTTAAATAATATTGAGCTGGTTTGATCATTTGGAGAGAACGTATGAAAGAATAATTACGAAAGAGATTTACTGCAGACGAATGAAGAGAGATGTTGGTGGGGGCCAACTTAGAGGGACGTACTTCGACTAAATAAGCGATGTGCTGAAGAAGGGCCAAGTTAAAGATACTCTTAATTAGCATGCGTTGAATAGAAAGACTTGTGTGTTATATTATATCTGCCTACCCTAATGGGAGACAGGGCTCACAGATGTATGTGTGTGTATGTAGAATATAGATAAATGCATAAACAATAACCGTTGATAAATAAATTTATTAAAATATGAAAATAATGCCAAGTTACGTTTATTGATTTCAGACAATATTTAATATATTCATTTTTTTATTTCACGAACTTATATATATGAATTATCATGTAATTACATTTAAGAAAATAATGGAAGATAAGGAATATGTAAGTATTTTTATTTTATTAAGTTTTAGCTGTAATATTAAGTAATTTTTTTGTATAAATTTCAATAAAATGAATAAATATTACAAACTTATTGTAATAGATTTTGTTAAAAAGAGAAGCAGACTTCAATCGTTGCACTATTTTTATTTAAAAACTAAACTACTTAACCGATTTTGATAAAAGTTCTATGATGTCAATCGGAAAGTCTTTTAGATAAAGTTAACTATTGCTGTACGTTGTCGACGTATTTGCGACATTAAAATTCTAACATTAAACCCATTGTCGCGGTTACGGCGACGCGGTTGTTTTACTGACTCGGCGCCCTTAACACTTAGGTAAGCAAAATTCTCTGTGTTTAATTAATATTTACACTGTTTATCATATGTTTATTATGTTTACATTATAATAAGTTATTGATAAGTTAATGTATTATTGGTATCCTCTATGTGTTGAGGTTGGAGTGCAAAGGGTTTAATTTGTCCAAATCGGTTATAAATGTCAGTGTCCTGTGGTAACTAACATATAAAAAATAAAATATTTACAAACATGCTCTTTATGAAGTTATTTGAAAATAAGCTAATGACAGAATTTATATAATCTTTTAGTCTCTATTTGTCACGCAAAATTGTTTGAAAAAATTGATCAGCTTTTTTCGAAGCATTTGTGTGGAGACACTATCTATGTAAACTAAGGGTAAATTATAGTTATTTTATGGATAATGATGGAATGGTAACTCCGCCTGTATAACCTGTGTAACGGTATACGCTGGCGAGGCACCAGATGATAGATGAGAATGAAAATCAATTAGCCCATCGTAAAGAATACATCTGGAATTCAGCACGATGGATTCCAGAAGGTGCCACAGGGAAGTCGACCTGTTAGGGTATATTGTTAGCAATGAGATTGGCAATCTGCATTACTAGTAATCCCTTTCCCCCCGGCAGGCGGGTGTTAGGTAACACGGTAATACAATATTAGTTACTAGTAAAAATATTTTTTTCAGGCTATGGACTTGATGGTATCAATAATGATTTGCATTTGGATTTTGAAAGACTATTTACTTATAGTAATTTTTTGTGCCGAATGCGAAAAATTCTACTCGGCAGTAAACGATGCTCAAGTACTCAGCGTCACTCTCTTGATGACTACAGGAAACTCAGGTAATTAAATACTCAATTTGATATTGGCGAACTTTTAATGTATGTATAAAAATTCGTGTTCCCATCGTAAAGCAGTTGTGTTTGCATGGCTGTGTTTCAGTTTGAAGGATGAGATATGCCAGTGAATTTACAGGGTACAGAGGAATAATACTTTTCATTGTCACCTATTAAAAAAAAATAACTAAACCAAATGTTTCTCTGTGTTTCTAGTCTGATTAACATAGACCTCCCCATAGACTGCCGTAGAAAAGTCATGAGCCAGTGGAACCTACTGACTCTCTGCAGTGTATTAGAGGTCGTCATTCCATCCAGTAGGGTCTCATCCTACACTGTGTTTACCACTCAAGAACCTTTGTTCCCCGTCGGTTATCGTTCTTTCTAGCTATTTGATTAGCCCATTACCATTTCAGCTTGCTTATCCTTCAGACTATATTGGTGAATTTGGTTCTTTTACGGATATGCTCATTTCGGAATCTGTCACGCAAAGAAACTTCGAAAATATTCCTCTCTATAGCTCGCTGAGTAACTTAAAGCTTTCACATACGGTCAACGTGTAAGATCATATTTCGGTACCATAAATCATCATTGGCTACACACACTAGTTAAAGACCTTTGTCTTTAAATTATTAATAAATATATTTTCCTTTTTTATTCCACAGAAGAAGAAAGAAGGTTGTTTAAAAATGTACAACGAATAAACAAGTCGGTTTTTCAAAAAGTTAACGTCTGCTGTATGTTCATTATGGACGCTGGGTCAACACTACAATTGCTCAGTTTGTTTACCACATATATAATTGTAATATTACAATTGGCATTCACTAATTATTTATCTTCATAATAATATTAAAGTAAGTAAAATATTTACGAAGTAAAATAATTTATTTTAATTGTTCTTTCTTGAGATAGACGGTTTTAGTTGTTGGGAAGTGTTTGTTAGGAGAATTGATGAATACGTACACATCCGTTATGTTTGTCTCCCATTGTGGTAGGCAGACACACTGGAATACCAAATATTTCGATTCAAAAGATCTCCTTTTACATCAGAGCGTCTTTTACGTTCATTATTTACTCTATAACTGTACAGATCACTAGAGAAAAACACTACATTTAACCCCTACTCTAGAACCAGACAGATTATTAGAGAATAACACCACACACACCCCTTACTCTATAACCGGACAGACACTAGAACTTAACACCATATTTACTCCTTACTCTAGAACCGGACAGATCACTAGACGAGAACTCCATATTTACCCTGTACTCTAGAATCGAAAAGATCATTAGATAAGAATTAGGCAGTTTACTAGAGAAAACACCACATTTACCCCATGCTCTAGAATAGGACAGATCACTAGATGAGAATTGGGTAGATCACTAGAGCAAAACACCACATTTACCTCTTACTCTAGAAAAGGACAGAACATTAGATGAGAACTGGGCAGATCACTAGAGAAAAACACCACATTTACCCCTTTCTCTACAATAGGATAGATCATTAGATGAGAACTGGACAGATTATTAGAGGAAAAAACCACATTTACCTATTACTCTAGAACTAGACAGATCACTAGATGAGAACTGGGCAGAGAACTAGAGGAAAACACCACATTGACCCCTTACTCTACAACAGGATAGATTATTAGATGAGAACTGGAGAGATCACTAGAGGAAAACATTACATTTACCCCTTACTCTACAACAGGATAGATCATTAGATGAGAATTGGACAGATCACTAGAGGAAAACACCACATTTACCCATTACTCTAGAACTGGACAGATCACTAGATGAGAATTGGGCAGATCACTAAATGAAAACACCACATTTACCACTTACTCTAGAACCGGATAGATCACTAGATGAGAATTGGGCAGATCACTAGAGAAAAACACCACATTTACCACTTACTTTAGAACCGGACAGATCACTAGATGAGAATTGGGCAGATCACTAGAGAAAAACATCACATTTACCTCTTACTCTAGAATAGGACAAATCACTAGATAAGAATTAGGCAGATCACTAGAGGAAAACACCACATTTACCCCTTACTCTAGAACTGGAGGACAGATAACTAAGAAGAACGCCTAAAATAATATACCTTTTTCGAGAACATCTTGTAAAATGTTTAAACAAATTTTGACCAGTTTGATCCATATTTTTATTTGAAAATAGTGATGTACGGAATCAATCATTTTTATATTATCCACATATTTTTAGACTCGTTGATAAAACAGTTGAAATAGTTTAAATTCGTGTTCCACAAAAAAAAAAAACAACTTCAATCTCACGATTTACCGCCAAAACCAGTTATTTTGATTAAAAATCTAAATTACGAGTAGTGAATCGATTTTAACAAAATTTCTATATAGAACTAATTAGAAAGTATTTTCTCTTATAATATACAACTGATGGAGTTTTTTTATAGCCTGTTTTAATATAATTTTATAAAAAAAATAACAAAGTTGTTTTGGTCATTAACTTGTCATTTCAATATATACTCGTAGAGGTGCTCTCTTTATCTCTTGATTTATATTAAAGATATAAACAAGCTCTACCTATCACTATCATCATCATCATTATCCCTACATAGTATAAAACAAAGTCGCTGTCGTTGTCTGCCTGTCTCGTATGCTTAAATCTTTAAAAATACGCAACGGATTTTAAAGCGATTTTTATATTAGATAGAGTGATTCAAAAGGCAGGATTTTGAAGCAGTTTTTTTAATACATACAATGATTCAAGAAGAAGGTTTTTATGTATAATGCAACGTAAATAAACACATATTTTGCGCTTACATTGCAAACGCTGGCTGAACCCCATGAGATAAATCCAAATAATGTACTACAGTATTGTACACGTTACACCAGGATAACCCACAATAACCTTTTTTTATCCTTTACATATTATGGGAAAAAATTGCTTATTTACGAAGTGATTTTAAGCAATACAGCATTAATTTTTATCCAATTAAGTACAAAATAAATTGTTCACTTAATATATATCATTATGACCCTTTACAGCATGTAATTTAAATAAATATTTCCGAAAATATTACAGATTTAAAATGCAGGAACATAGCGGTGCGGTGGTATCGGCCCGGCCGGCGCACAGTATAATTAAAATTAATTAAAATTTTCAATAATAAAATTCATTGTGCGGATTTGCTGAGTTCAATCTAATTAACGGTACCTCTAAATTATCCTCAACACCCTATAACTAGAACATTTATTTAACTTACCGCGCGACATAACAAACCTAGAGCTGCATCAACCTCTGGCCAGGATTTGTGCGTCATACAACGAAATTATTGCCAAATTACCTGAAATTGATATAATGCATGATAGTTCGAATTTCTACGGGAATAAACTGCTGAAACACTTTGTACAATAATCTAATAATAAGTAACTTTAATTTTAATAACACATATATTTTTTAATGTTTGTTAATTTAATTCAATTATCCTCAACACCCTATAACTAGAACATTTATTTAACTTACCGCGCGACATAACAAACCTTATAATCGTATACTTACCGCGCGATATAACAAATGCTTTTAGTTGCTGCGCTGTCACCTAGAGCCATCGCATTCATGTACACTTGGTCCTGCCGTTGTATTTGGTATTTTTTGTTAAATATATAATGATTATGAGTCCTGTCACAAGGAGCCGCAATCAAAGGTTCATATTCGATTGCCTGGTTCAGAATAAGTGTGGGGATTTGTCATACAACGAAATTATTAAATTACCTGAAATATTTTTTAATGTTGATAGTTCGAATTTCTACGGGAATAAACTTTACTGATTTTAAACACTTTGTATATAATTATTAAAAGTACTCAATAATCTAATAATAAGTAACTTTAATTTTAATAACACATATATTTTTTAATGTTTGTTAATTTAATTCACTTATAATCGTATTTACTGATATTACTCACAACTCAGGTTATATGTATATTTCTATAACTAATAACGCAACTTTTAAAATATTTGTAGTCTAGTGTTATTTCATTCACTATAAATGTTACTTCATTTTCTCGCACTGTATAATTATGTTAAAGTAAATGCTGTGAATACCTTTAATAGGCGTGTGCATTAATATTGTATTATCTATACTTATAATAAACTGTAGAGAGGTCAATTCTGTACACGAAATATGTTTCCAAAATAACTATTAAGGGGTGATTAGTGATCAATACTGATGCCAAAAATGCAATCACTAAAATTTTTGTCTGTCTGTATATTCGTTATAGAAACAAAAACTACTCGACGGATTTTAACGAAACTTGATACAATTCACCACCACCACCTGTACGAAGCCGAGACGGGCCGCTAGTATTTAATATTTGTTATATGTGTTATAAAGCAATATTCTGTTGGTGATCCTTTAAATAAATAAATAAATCATGTTTGTATTGTCTAATGACAAAAAAGCTGTATACGTTGTTTATAAGGACATTCTGTAGTAGGTACGTATATTAAATATCAGCATTACACCCGTGCGAAGTCGGGGCGGATCGCTGGTTCCTAAATAATGTTTTTGACATTTTCCCATAACAGTAATTGGATGTTTGAATTTACATTTTTGAATACATCAATGTGATTATTAAAACGTTTAAGGCTTATTGACTGATTACTTTAAAAGCTTTCAGCATTTCTTATAATTTTGTACCTAATTCTACACTTAGTCTAGACTCTGGACAAAATGATTGTAAGCTACTCTAGGTCTCGTACTGAAATATTATTGAATAATGACTTGGACAAAGACTTTCAAGCCATGTTATTTCCATTAAATGTTATAGATAACTTCTTTCTTCTATCCAAATATTATATTTGTGATAATTTTATAACACCCAAAGGAAATCTTTCGAATTTCACGTCATTGTGTAGTACTCTTATAGGTATATTCCTTTATATCATTAATTTGTATTGCGATGTCAATTACAGTGATACTATTCAAGTGATAATGTATTATTTTGATATAATCACGTGTATATTTGGTTTTCTTATGAATTTAGCTATTAACATCTCCCAAACATCCAACACGGTGCATTTCATTTTCAAATTGCAATATTTTATCAGAACCCTTGACTATAATAGGGGAAAGTTAAGAAGAACAGCCTTTTGGAATTGGGTATACACGATAGGAATAATTGGTTTTTACTTTTATTACATGATTACTTTATACGTTTATAAATTTATGAATGAATTGGAAGCCTCCACTTATGCAATATTAATAATTTTCGATACAAGCACTATTTGTGCAAGTAGATATATGAATATGATAACTCAAGTATTGAATTTGTGGCTCTCGGAAATAAGGTGCCATAAAATAATGCATGTGGATAGATCACCCAATTGGAAAAACCTGTTAACCATTTACGAAGAAATAATTGAAGCATATGGTATACACGATAAAATGTTTAGTTTAATGGTAAGCACAATGAAGTATTTATTATTATTATAGCTATTATTGATAACTGTTACTGATAGAGTTGCTAGATGCAAATTAAAATTTTTACTTAGACATATTTTTTTCTCAAATTGATACAATCACTAGGATTTCTTACGCTATTACTAACTTTTATTATTTTTATCTATGTTTTGTCATGTGTCACAAAAGAAGGCACTCCATTTTCTACTTTTAGCTTCTCTTGCCCTCTTAATATTCTATACCGTTTTATTACCTTCATTTATATATTTTATTGGACAAGTTTATTATGGTTAAACTTATATTATTAAATAAATACTTAAACTGTTACCCTCAAGTCCAAAAACTAACTCACTTTTCTTCAAACATTTCTCCAAGGAATTCATTTATTTAAAATTTCAAGA